ATGCATGCTCATTTTGTAACTTGTTTCTCTCTTTTTTGATTTGGCCTGTTTTGTTGCTCCTCTTTTTACTCTGTTCCGTGAGTTTTTTTTTTTTTGTTTTTTATTGTGCTCCAGCATACAGTTATATAACTCCATATATATTGCTAATGAAAATATATATATACACATATAAATGAATAAAAATTTATTTATATATAAATTTTACACATTTTATTTATATAAAATTTTAATTAATTATTTTTTTATTTTAAATAATTAAAAATTATTCACCTTTTATTATATTTATTAAATATAATTATATTTTTCACTTAAAAAATATTAAAAAAAAACTCAACTCCATTTAATCTTAACCATTAAATATATATATATATATATATATATGGTAGAATATAATAAACAGAGCGATTTTTATTTTTATGATCACCTAGGATCTAGAACAATGACTCTTTTTTTTTTTTTCTTAATTGAGAAATATCCTCTCTTAGACCGACTTGGTTTCTATTTTAATTTTTTAAACTTTTTGCTTATTAAGTTTAAGGAAAAATGAGAAATAAGAGCTCGCATTTTTTATGCCAGGAGTCTGGTTTCCCATTTTCTGTAATTGTAATTGAAAATACAAACCCAATTTTAATTGAATTCGCCCACATACTGCTCGACGTGAAGGGCAGATGAATTAATTCTCCACCTACCGCTGCCCGTGATTCTCTAACTAGGAGGTATATATTGAGCCTGCAGGGGCTTTGAAGCGGGGGACGGCGGTTTGTAATGGAAAACTGTACTTCAACTGTAATAGAATACCGGCGGATTGTAATGGAAAAAGGCACCGGAACTGGTACTTAAACTGTAGAGGAAGTATCGGTACTTGCCAAATTAACTCATGACTCAGAGATCTGGGTGTGTAGCCGGCGCCGTTCCCGTTGAGACCAATGATTCACCGAGCTGGAGTCATCGGAGTTGATAGAAGCGACGGCAGAGTCGATCGAGTGAGTCCATTGCCATCGGCGAGGAACCTCGTGAGAGCAACCAGATAGTCCCTTGCGGTCGGAGTTGATCTGGGGTTTTCGGTTTTGAGATACAAAAAAAAAAAAATACATGTTATAAGGACTACATTGAAAAAAAATACATGTTTTAAGGACTAAATTGAAGAACCACAACTTGATTGGGTTTAGATTCCATATGAGGCAGGCCTGACGACATTGTTGGGTTTCCAATTTTGGGCCTCACCGGGCCACTGGAAGCATGGCCCAATGCATGATGGGCCCAACCGTTCGTTTGATGAAATAGAAACACCACCTCGTCGCCCAGGACTCCTGTTCAAAGTTCAAACCACACGTTCTGAAGGATTTTTTTAATATCCAGAAAATGAAGGATTGTGCGGTTTTCTATATTTATGAATTGCATTCCTGAGCATAGTGGATTGATTCTAGGATGCTAGATATGATCAAGAATGATGGGTTTACTAGTGAAAATGGAGGACTGGGGTTGATTGAATCTTGTTTTTAGCTCTATGATTTTGGGTTTGATGAAAATTTATAATTTTTTTTTTTAAAAATATTAATCCCATATGTCGCTTGAATCGTCACTTTGATATTATTTTCTTGTGTTTTCTATGTAAG